ACATAGCCATAGGTGTCCAGGTTCTGCGGAGCCTCGTTTATGCTTGGTGGTTTCAAGTGAGCTCGGTTTTGGATGACATCTGAAAACCTCAGAAAGGGAAATATGGGTTTGGCATGTGCCATTAGACATTGTCAGGCAGGAGTGAAAATTCACACAAAATATGGGGAAAAGGAGTGAAGAAATCCTTCTCATAGGGTGTTGCTTTACACCCAAAGTCGGCAGTTCTAGGGCATAGGCCCTCACAGTCCGGGCATCCCGTCCCGGTGATGTGCAGGTCTCCGAGCCACAAAATGCAGGCTGTTAAACCAGCTTTAGAGCGTGCCCAGGTTTGGTATGTCCCGTACGCCTGCATCATAGCCACCCACAACTTACTGGCGCTTGCGATACGCCCTGTTTCGCAGTAGGTAAATACAATGTTCAGCTGAGAGCTAAACTGCTCACTCATAACAGCAACGGCACAGCTTGATTTATCGTTTGTCAGTAGCCAAAGGAGTTCTCCTGAGCTCTCAGATTGATGTCACTTGGTACACCTTCCCCATTTAGACATATGAATGGCGTAGATGCTTTTGACACTGCAGATATCACGTGTTCAGACTGTCCAATTCACAAATAGTTCTGGCGTAGTCATGCAGGCGCACGGGCGTGGTGATCGGATTTCAAACGTCCACTGAACTGCCTCCTGCCCTTTGGTCGTGCTAAACACTAACGTCCCGAACTGAACCATCGCTGTCGACACAGCGCATCGTAACTGCATACCATTACGTTCCACAGTTGCTCGAAGTGTCTACTTTGCCTGAAATATATCGCATCAGCATGTTAAAGGTCACGTCCACTTGAAGCCAAAGAAACGTTTGCCTCCCATCCGGGTGCTGATTGTTTGGCATTGGCGGCTCGCCTCGCTCGGCGTTCCCCCGCTATGGAGCCTCGTGTCGGTGGCAGCCCGTTGTGCATGATGCAGCGCACGCTGCAGTCCACAGTCGTTCGGGCACGGTTGCTCGCAGTCCGAGCAGTGACGTGCTGTGAGTACGTTCTGTGAGTACGTTCTGTGAGTACGTCGTGTGAATACGTTCTGTAAGTACGTTCTGTGAGCACGTCCCTGTCGAGTGGTCGGGCGGCGTGCCGCGGATAAGGCACATTTGGTGATGGCCGAATTTCGCTTGGGCTTGCGAGCGCTTGGCTGAGGACCCACACAGCAAAGCGCACCAATTAAAAAGGCATGGTGATGCTTTCTGGGTTGGAAAAATGCGCTTGTGTTCTAAACCGCCCAGTCAAATCGAGCCTTGGTGTGTTTAATTTCACAACTGGTGAGTTCGCAAATACATCCATCGTCCATAATTAACCAAGTTGCATGTCACTTGCAAACAAAATGAGGGTGGAAAAATAAACCATGACTGCCCGGCCCAGTTTATTTTCAGAGCTCAGTCAGCTCACCGTGCATTGATGACGTCAGAATTTCAAATAACAACCAAAAACGGCGATATGATGCAGACGGGCAAAATTACTGAGGTATCTCATGGGATATGACCAAAATATTTGTATGTTGTTCAGTGCATTAGCGAGGAGCATTAGTCGCATAGATAAGACAGTAGTAATAGCCGTATTCGTCGGAAAAAACAGGGAGTAGGGATATAGTTGTGTTGATATTTCGGCAACATGCCTTTCTCGAAACAATGGCGGAAGTGTATTCACTTCTGCTATTGTGTCCAGAAAAGCATGCTGCCGAAATATCAACATAACTATGTCTCTATTCTCCTGGTTTTCCCGGTGAATAACGCTTATGCTACTGTTTTATCCATGAGTAGATTTTGTTTTTCAGGTGTTACGAGTGTTGAGACAGCCTCTTCGCTTGAAATGCGCATCGCACGCGCCGTTTTCACGCCTTGCAAAAGCAACGGTAAATGCCGTTCATTTCACGCACACTCTGCGTGCACTGCACCGTTTTGGTTTGCCGCAGACGGTTTCGACCAGCGAGCCGTAGGCGTTCGTCCGCCGCCTGTCGGCTTTGCGCAGAATTTATTGCTATGAGCGCCTTGAAAACTGGTGAAGCGATAACGTGGCGTCATTGTCGACTGCATGCATTTCAAGATACAAGATTCTCGATTCTCGTCTCGTGTGGCGTTCCTGGCTGGTGCGGATTGAGTCCTCGTCATATGACTGCGTCTCAGAGGCTGTGACGTCACTTAATTCAGAATTATCCGAATCACCGACACTGAATGCAGCCGATGCGATTAGGCTGACAAACGACTGAAGCCTGCAGCTGGGATATGAGGAAAGCGAGCCAGTTTAGGTGTTCGTTCTCAGAATGTTTCCGTTTCACGAGACATTGGATCACACGGTACGATTAATGACGTTTTTCTATGCATACTGCTTATGCATACAGTTCGGTTTGTTCCGCACGCACAGTAAGCTTAGCTTTGGCTTTACTTCGTTGGAATATGAGTACAACTCTACTCCTTAAATGCACTAGCTTTTTAGTTTACACGAGCGGATGGATTTCTCTCCTTGATCCAAAAAAACAACTAAAAACGCAATGATTTAAACTAAGTTTGAGCACATTTTCTGAAAGTCTGTCTTAGTTATTGCTTTTCGAAACGAAGGTAAGGACTCCTAGAGTATTGTAATTAGCAATAGTTTAAACTACTGGCTTGCGGTCGAATGAGCGTGTGACCTGAATCATCTTCAGTTAGCTAATTCCACGGCTGCCGTCGGATCGCTGTTTTTCCGAGAGAAGTCTGCTGAAAGTTGTTTAAAAATGCAGATCGACTATTAGTACTGCGCTATGTTCCTAACGAATGCTTTTCCCAGTTGTTGAGTGCTCTGTGTTAAACGTCATTGATAACTCCTCTGGGATGCCGCTGTTCATAGCAGTTTTGGCGTCTTGATTTTCCAAAGCAAAGATGCGAAACTTGTAGCAACTCCGGTCACCGTATGTCATTAAAGATACCAAGCATAACGGCAAATTCACTATAGACATTTCAGTGAAGACATTCGAAGACAGTACATGCATATCCAATAGATATTTAGTGAGGTATCATGAGAACTGAGATGCGCAGAGCCAAGGGCCACCTGGGTATTACCGTGCGTTCAAGATCAATCTGATTATTAGCTCAAAGCAGCTTTAGTATGCTTCGCAGCTGGATTAGGGATCAGCAATGATGGCAGCGACTTGCGGAATCGTAGTAAATGCTGCACATTGTTCTGCCTCCGTCTACGAATGTCAGTCGTCAGCGCAACAAAGATTGAAATTACCTCTGGTAATGGCTGCCAGACCGTGGCACACCGCGTGGTTTTGTCCTGCCGATCTCATGCTTTTGCCCTTGCATGCCTTGCGGGACCCTACCTTCGCCTATGTCTATTTTTTTGCAGATTGTGACCTATATTTCAAAAACGCTTTTGACCCGCAGGCCAGAAGCCTCAGTGTCCGACTGAATGACATTCTGGTTATGCCGTTCTGAATATCCTGCAAGTGCTCTAACTTAGCAAAATGTTATTAATGATGGGCATCATCGAGTTGAAACGCTAGCTCGTTTCAGCAAATGGAGACAACGATACGAAGGCAACGAAACGAAGACGATGGACCAGGGCAACAAAACAGGCAACCGACAGGAGAGAAAAACAAAAAGCGTCAGGACTGTTAACTTGCTTGCCATTGTCACCTCCATTCGCTGTTATGCGATCCCATTCGCATTCGCACCTCCCTTCGGCTGTTAAACACGGCACAAACTTCACTGGCCGATAGCTGAAACAAAATCTAATATAGATCCGTCGCACCCATTGGGTGCCGGCGACACACCACTTAGCTACAAGTTTCGGCTTGTCACCGACACCAGCCTATTCTGAAAGAGTGCCTAAGTGTCTGACTTGAGTTGAGGTCGGAGGCGGCCCCGAACAGCAGCCTACATAGCTTCCAGTTCGAACAAGTCGCCCACAGCGCTCGCGATATCGCCCCCTGCCGGGTGCGACAATGGACCAACTGCAGACAAACCGCTTTTCGACAGGGCCGTATACAAACAAACTAACCACTCGCGTAATTGCAGAAGCAGAACTAAATCAACCGTTCCCACGCTTCCAAGTTACCCAGGCAACTTTCCCGGAAAGCCCGCGGCTCCGCCGTCGATCCGGCTTAAGACCAGCCACTATGCAGTGAGCGTTGGCCTGGTTTTGTGAAGTGGTAGAGCATGCCGGCGATACATCCGCCTGGCCCACCTGCCGCCCGCCCCCCCCCCCCCCCGCCCCTCCCGCCAGCGGGCGGAGCTGGCACACCTCGTCCTACTTCAGGGTCAGAGGGTGACTTCAGAGGGTGTTTGCCCCCACTCTGGCCGGGATGTGTGTGTGTGCGCCCCCCCCACCCCCACACACCCACGGCGAGGACCCGGCCGGCCGGCGCCTTCCCCCCGATAAGCTTTCCTCCGTTCCGCCCCGTGTTGGCAATGCGAGGCAGCTCATCGCGCCGGCCCTTCCGCCGCAGCTGTCCGTCTCCGCCCTCACAGCGGCCGAACCAGCCGGAGAAGGCGCCAATCGATGCTAATGTCTCCATTAGACGACGTAATTACAGCCAGCAAACGCTGGCAGGGTGAGCGTCGCTTGGCGCTGGTATTCCGCGATTACGCACAGCGCACGCTCTGCCGCCCAGCGTCGCCAAATACGACTGCTCTAATTAAATATGGTAATGAGCGCGCTCAGATTCCACCGCCGGTGCCGGCGTGCCGACAGCTAATCAGCAGCGTCTGATCAATATCGCGCCTGTTGGCCATGCGATTTGACGCCTGCCACGGACCCGCGTGGGCTTAGGCTGATGGCGCAGAAGTCCGGCGGCGGGCAAAGGGCAGCCGCTCGGGCCCACTGGCCACCGACGCGTCAATGCTAGAGGTCAGTTGGCGCTGTCGGCGAGCCTGCCAATTAGCGGCACATGCCCGCGTTTCGGAGACGAGCCCGTGCGCCTAACGCGTGCCTTTCGACCGCGAGCCTGAGGCGGCGTTGACCTTCACTCTCCGTTGCAGGTCAGAAGTTACGCATGCGCAGTCACTACCGGGCTCGCCAGGTGGCGTTCTGGAATGAGCTGGTGCCGCAGCTGCACGAGGCCGGGCGCCGCTCCCGCCGGCCCGAGTTGCAGTTTGAGGACACGGCCTCGCCGGAGGACCTCTACAGCGGCCCGGTGAGGCCCTCCTGCTCCAAGAGCCCGCGCGTGCGCGTCGTCACCACGCCAGAGCCGACCGAGCCGCCGCCGACGCCGCCGGCGTCGACGACGAGCAGCACGTCGGCACCGACGTCACCGGCGCCGGTGACGACGCAGAGCCTGCACACGATCTCGCGAAGCCATGGCCACGGCGGCGCCGCGCCGGCCGACGGCTGGACCTACTCGACCGTGCTCAGTGTCACCGTCACCATTGGCTGCTCGCTGCTTGTGCTCAACCTGCTCATCTTCGCCGGCATGTACTACCAGCGCAAGAAGTTCGAGGAGTCGCGCAAGCGCTTCCAGGGCAGCGCGCAGCCGAGCACCGTGAGTCTGGACTTAGGCCAGCCGGGAGGTGCTTCACTCACACGCCGCAAGTCCGGCGCCAGTGACTGCGTGGCGTGCAAGGGCGGCGGCGGTCACGGCGGTGGTGGCGGGGGCGGCAGCGGCGGCGCGCCGCGCCAGACCGCGCTGCCAGCGGCGCCGCCAAACGGGGACCTGAACTTCACGGTGCCGAAGCCGCCGCCGCCGCCGCGTGGCAGTACGCTCACACTGCCGTCGTCGGAGTCACAGCCGCTGCTGCTGCACCACGGCGGACCGGCAGCGCCGCGTCGCCCGCCGCCGGCGACCATGGACGAGCTGCGAGTGTAGCGGCGGCGGCGGCGGCGGCGGCGGCGGGGCCGCGCCGGGGCGTAGTGCAAATTTCGATGAGTGCGCCGGGGCACCGGGGTACCGGTGGCGTCGGCGGCAGTACGATCCATCTTGCAGCGGGGAGAGCGCTTAGCTGTCGCGCGACGGAAGTCCCAGAGCTGGCGCAGCGCATGGTGTGGACAAGCTTCGTTTTCTAAACCCTGTTCGGAGGCTTGACATGTTTCGGCGCTGATCCCGCCCGCAGACTCAGTGTTTCGTGAGGCCGCAGCTGTGGCCGTCGCTGTAAGTAGGCCGTAGTGTTCTCGCTACGGCAGGACCGATCTCTGCCCCATCTCATTGGCCGGGGGTGCGGTTGGCCGTCTGTGTCCTGTTGACTTTGCTCGTGCGACTGACGCGGGTCAGCTTGTGAAATGTGAATGGTCTCATGTCTGACGCTTCACATCAACTCCAGAAACTCCACTGAGCGAGGTTCTGGAGTCTGGAGTTTCATGTGGTGTAACTCTCACGATTTTCATGTTTTCACTCTCTCCTATTGCCTGTCCTTCTCTTCCCATTCCTGCATCTTGCCAACACGTTTATAATCTCATCCATTTTCTGTTACTCTCTCCCTCCCTCCCTCCCTCCCTCCCTCCCTCCCTCCCCCTCTTCTTCCCCCTTTCCCTGTCCCTATCCCTATCCCTATCCTTCTATCCCTATCCCTCTTTCTATCCCTATCCCTCTTTCTATCCCTATCCTCTCTCTTCTCTCTCTCTCTCTCCTCTCTCTTCTCTCTCTCTCTCTCTCTCTCTCTCTCTCTCCTCTCTCCCTCTCTCTCTCTCTCTATCCTCTCGTCTCTCTCTCTCTCTCCCTCTCTCTCTCTCTCTCTCTCTCTCTCTCTCTCTCTCTCTCTCTCTCTCTCTCTCTCTCTCTCTCTCTCTCTCTCTCTCTCTCTCTCTCTCTCTCTCTCTCTCTATCTCTCTCTCTCTCTCTCTCTCTCTCTCTCTCTCCTCTCTCTCTTCTTCTCTCTCTCTCTCTCTCTCTCGTCTCTTCCCTCTCTCCCTCCTCCTCGCCGCCGCAACCGTCCCCCTCCCCCCGACCTCCAGGCACACTCACCCCCGTAATCCCTTCTTTGCAGAGGGCCGCTGCCGCGCTTTTCGAAGTGGTCTCCAACGTCCTCCACTGTTTCGTCCCGGTTGCCCGTAGATCCAGCGGATTGGCCCAATTCATCCTCGCCCCCTATATTTACTTGTTTTTGTGAGGTGTTCCACGGGGCCAGGGCTCCCCAATGGCTGTGATATGAATCTTGAACTGTTGTTTTTTTAAGGTAAATAAAGTGGTTTTTGTGCGCAACATTACCGGTATGCTGGTGTGGTGATGACACTTCGCCAAGGCTTCACTTACACCAGCGATACTGGGTTCAGCAGTAGTGTGCAGCAGTCGTCTGGCTTCCGAAAATCTATTCCACGTGAGCCGGCGCCGGGTCCCTGTTTCCTCGTCTCGCTTTCGCCCGTTCGAAACTTTTCACCTCACATCTTGCCGCCTTCAACCGTCCAGGCTCGGCGACGCCCCAACAATAAGTATCCGGCTGGCCGCCACAAAGTTGTCTTTGATTCGTTGCGGCGGCCGACCGGCACCGGATGCTAGCCTGGGGAGGGGTCGGCCGCCCGCTGTCCGCTGTATTTCCGGCGGCCAACCATCCGGCCACCGCCAGCCGCCGCCGCCGGCCCACCGCCCGTTTCCGCTGGAATCAGAGGTGCCCGGCATGGCGCGCCGCTCTTGGCCGCCGGCTGACCTGCTCGCGCCAGATTCGTCTTAGTCGCGCCCAGAACTGTCGGCCGCGGCATAATCGGACTGAGACGGATGGTCGGTGGCGTCGCGGAGGGCGGCTTTTACGGCGGTCGGACGGAGGCTAGCCGCGTTCCGGCTGGTGGCGCCCGGCCGCGAGACCAGCGGCGTTTATCAGATCTCACTGCTCGTGCAGATAGACGCGGGCTGTTCTCAGAGAAATAGCGCCGGCAAGATGAAAAACAAGAAAACAAGAGACTGCGAGAGGAGGGTCGGAGAATGCTGAACACTTCGCGGAGAAGTTCGGTCGACGCGCCGGCTGACAGTTTGTTTGCATACCTAAACAGCGTTCTCCGGGACCGGCGTCGGGTGGTGACTGGTCTTGACTAGCGCATGCAGGCCCACACCCAGCGGTGCGCGAGGGAGCACTACAGATCTTTCTTATGGGTTTGTGTTGACCCATCCAGAATCCTGCGTGAAGCTTTGCTGATTTATTATGGGGCAAACGACAGCGTCAATCCCAACTTTCAGCTTGACCTGACAGTAGCAACGGTGGGCTGGAGTAGCCGACGGGTCACCCTCTAGGCGCACAGATTTATTTCTGAATTAGATACACAATCCAGTATCATATTCGCAGTGTGAATAAGAAGGGCGGACTCGAGGGGGAGAAGGGTGAGGGGGCAACCAGACGTAGCCCCAAAGATTACCAAAGGCGGGCCGAAAATTACACCTTTCTGGACTTTGAACATTTTTAAGCAGCTTTACTGTGGGATGATGGTTCTTAAGCACTCCCTTGAGATAAAAGAAGGTTGAATCCGACCACCAGTCTTTGAAATGATAT